GGAAGAATGAAATTGGAAATCAAAGAATCAATAGAGCAGACTTCACATAACGCAGCAATGGCATGGCAAGCCTCCCTCCCCTCCTTTCCCCCTCCAAATGCAGAGTAAGCTGTTCCATAAGCAGATGCTTTTTCATTAACTGCATTATCTGTTTCTTCGAGTGGAGTTTCACTGCTTTCATCAGACTGAAAGCCATAACTATCATCAGTCAGTTCATATTCTGCTGAGACTTTTCCAGAAAGGTTTTTAAGAGCATCCCCACTAATTGAGGGCCAACCTGTGGCTGTATACATATCAGTTTGCATTTCATCCCCAATTTTAAATAGTGTAATATTACGAAATTTTGAGGGAGCCTTCTTGCCCTCTTCAATCACTTTGTCAACATTAGGCACTCTAAAAGTCCTCTTGACTGGAAGAAACTCATTATAGTCCTTTCTGTAATGCGGAAAAAAAAAAAAAAAAGATGTGCCCAAGTAAATATTTCTCAAAAGCAGAAGTTTTACACAAATTATTAGCAAGACACACAGGCAGAACCTATATGTAGCCAGCAAGACAACAGGCATACTTTCACAAAAACAACATAGATCTTTCCATTGTATGGTATAGTAAATTACCAGATAATCACATTCAAAATATATTTTAACAATCAAATCAGCAAGGTTGTAAGAAATATCTATTTTTTTCAAAGCCTGGCTTTGATGACCTAGTACACATTCGCAGATGGGAGAGTTAAGTGCATAAAACTAATCAGTATCAATAAAGATGCCACTCTGGTGGGACTAACCATGGCTTTTACACTAGTGGGCTTGGATTTTCAGATTCTAGGACCTGGACCTGAAAAGTTGGTCTTGAACTAAACCTGGGAAGGGTTTGGACTGAGAACTTGGTAATCCTCACTTGGAACAATGAACAATCCAACATGAGCCCAAACCAACCTGATGTTTACACTATGATTTGTGTGTGTTTGTGTCTCTATATAGCCTACCTAGTCAGGTAGGGTTGGGCATTGCGTCAGGCTAGCCCAACCTAGCCTACCTAGTCAGGTCCATACCCCATTGAAACTAGAGTTGGGCCTAGGCCAAAATATAGGTCCAATGGAGTTTGAACTAGGCTAAGGTCGACCCAGACCCAACCTAAGATATGATGTATTTATGCTTTTTATTGGTATACATATATATGTACACATATTACACCTCAGTTCCCACGTTGCACTTCTCAAGTGACTTTGAATAAGAATTGAGATGTAAACTAGGGGTGATCATATATCAGAATATTTTAATAGTCTCATAGAATATGAATATTTGCAAATGCCTTTTTATTTGTCCAAATATTTTTAATATTTACATCTAATCACAGTTGAGACATTTAAATAAGTATAAAGTATAGTTCAAGTTTAATATCTTTTCAACCTTCTGCAAAATATAAATGTATTTTCAAAATTCAAAAATCTAATTGTTTATAGGACCAGAACCAGGCCCATCCCAGCCTGAGATCAGGATCCAAGCTGAGCCCAAGGCCTTAAAGAGGTTTAGATCTAGCATATGGCTCAGAATCACTTTCCCTTGCCTGAACTGAAACCTAAGGCTTGGGCCAAACCTGGGCCCAAACTCAGCCCAAAGTACCCAACCACAATACATATTTCAGGCCTTGGGCCAAGATCAGGCTGAGAATATTCTGAGGGCACTCTCTTGGAAAAGAAATTTTTGCAGACAGCCTTTTAATCCTCTATCTTGTCACAGTGGCACAGTCTTGAGGAATTAAGTTTGCAGAGTTCAAGATGCACTATGTTAGGATCATTTTGAACACATTTGATGTTGTTTCTTAATCTTTTGTCATAGTTGATCAATGTTTCTAACCATCTATGTCTTTTTTTAGATATATGGTGTTTCACCTATTCGCAAATATCAATAAATGACTTCTTAATTGGAGCAAATTAAATCAAGAAATTGCATACCTGTTAACAATACCACCAAAAAAGAGTTGGCGCAATTGTGTATCACTTCCTACATTCATGTACATAGCATCAGGGCAATACCCAGATGCCCACTTGCGAAATCTTTTCACAGCAACTTGTTGCTCTTCTATGGCCACCTTCTCAATTTCTGCAAGATATGTTCGATCAACCAGCATTCCCTCAGTTTCCATTTTCACTAGAAGTTCACCAAATGGCCGCCAATATTCCTCATAGAAGTCATACATGGTTCCTCTTGTAAACCCATCTAGAACCCACTTCATTTTCTGTAGCTTTACTTTCAAGCTTTCGAAAAGCTTTAGGGTACTAATTGAATCCAAAGCAGAATAACAAATCCATGGTATCCTTTCTTCCCTCTGAAGCTCTTCAACAGGAGCGATCATGACAATCTTGCCTTCTGACCCATCTTTCTTTATTTTTCTCTTGCCAAAGATTGTCTTCATTGATATCTTACCAATCAGTTCTCCTTCTGTGCATTGTTGAGCCCCAGACATGACTTTTGGGTCTTTTGTAAGTGCTTCAAGAGAATATCCACCTTCTGTCCGTCTTGAAGAATCCCAAAGCCGTGCCATATGCATTGTGTCAGCATGAAAGCCAGATATCTTAATCCCATAGTTCTCTATAACATGACTGTCAAAGCTATAGTTATGCCAGACCTACAAAAAGGGACACCACACCATTGTATCATATTTGAATATCATCACCATCATCATCATCATCAAAGCCTTGCCCCATCTATATATGATCAGCTACATGAATCTTGCATAACCATTTTGTTATTGTAAATTATGAGTGCATACTTCATGCTTGCAGATGCTAGGAGCAAATACAAAAGACTAGCTTAGGGGCCATTTGATAACAACTGAAGTGACTGAACTGAATTGACTTGTCGCTTTGTCTGTTAGTTGACAAAATAATTAAAAAATAAATATTCCAGTGTATAATAATCAACCTATTTTCAGTTTCAGCCATTAAGGAGCTTACAACCTCCTTGATAACTTATTCACAAAAAGGCAAATCAATAATCCATTCAGTTCAGCCACTTCAACTGCTATCACATGGCCAGCTCCTTAGGGAAAGAGCATGTGAAACTCTTGCTGGAGGGTCTAAAATGAAAACATGAAAGTATGATGCAGGTATGAGTGTCAGAATTCAGCACAATTATGAGGCAATAAATTTGTCAATACCAAATAAAATAGGATCGAGGGTCTCTCAGTGGGTATATTTTATATTTCAATTTAATTATGTTTTATGGTTGCTCAATTATAAATATTTACACTATATAACATAATAATCGATAGGAAAGAGAGTGGCTGCAATCTAGTAAGTTGGGAGCCTGGATTTATAGACAGCCCATAAGGGAAATCCTCAATATAACAAGCGAGATCGGTGCATGCTTCAAATGGACAAGGAGATCAGCTAGTGGTTTAGCTGACACGTTGGCTAAACAAGGGACTGTGAGGGAGAGTATGTTCTGGGCAGTTTTGTAAGAAAGATTACTGGGGGGGCTCAACACCTACTTAGGGGTTGACAGCTGTACTTAAATCTGGAAAGTTATTTTTAAAGTTATATTAATGAAGTTACCGTTTCCAATCAAAAAAAAAAAGAGAGAGAGAGAGAGAATGAACTGTATGCAGAAGCCAATAAAACTGAACAATTAAAAAACTTTCATAATCTTTGAAAAAAAAAGACTTAAAGTACTTAAAGTACCCTAAGGTTTCAAAAAATAACTTTTTTATGGGAAACGGTAACTTTCATTAATTCTTTAAAAACTTAGTACAAATCGCCACCTTCAAAAACAAGGTGACCCCTCATCAAAATTACAAACAGGCCCAAAAAAGGTCCTACCTACTAAGTACTAACTCCTTGCTTTGCTAAAGTATCGGCCATTGCATTGGCTGATCTCCAAGTCCATTTAAACCAGACTTCAAGCTCCCTTGTTAGTTGCATAATCTCCCTTACAGGTTGTCCAAGGGACCAAGCACCTAAGTTGTTTGCTTGCATCCAACCTATTACCAGTTTCAAATCTCCCTCCACTTCCAACTGCTGAAAACCCAGCCGTTTAGCCAATTTAAGCCCCTATAGGAGTGCCAGAACTTCTGCTCTAAGAGAGTCCCCCAAGCCTATCGGGCCAGAGTAAAGGGCCAGCACTTTTCCTCCCCCATCTCTAAAGACACCCCCGATTCCAGAGGGGCCTGGATTACCTACAGAGCTGCCATCAAAGTTTAGCTTAACAGCCACACATAAAGGGAGTGACCAGTCCTCTTGAATAGCTAAAAAGGGGCAGGAAGAAGTTGCTACTGTGCTCCATCCTCTAATCAAGTCATCTAAAGAGAAGTCTTTAAACAGATTCAGTGGTTTCAGCCAATGTATAACCTTGATGGTGATCCCTTCTATGACTTCATGTGCTGATTTTTTTCCCTTGAAAGATTATGTTATTTCTCTCTTCCCACACTGCCCAAACAACTGTTGCCCTCGTTGTTCTCCACATAACCCTTCCTCTTTTCCTTGGCTGACAAAAAAGGCTAGATTCAAAAAGATCCACCACGCTTGTAGGAGAAACCCACCTGCACCCAAAGAGAGAGGAGAACCAATCCCAAATAAGAGTAACAAAAGGACAAGAGATTAGTAGATGATTTACCATCTCACCACTCTTCAAGGAAAGACTACAAACATGAGGGGATAAGGACCAATTTGGTCTTTTTTTTTCTGAAGCAAGTCCAAAGTTGATTTTTTTGGAGAACCACTTCCAATCAAAAAGCCCTCACCTTTGGAGCTGTACAAGAGCTAGAGCACTCCACACTTCTTTTACAGGAAAAGAGTAAACTAAATTGGAAGAGTGCACTAAAGCATTGAAGAAAGAAGACCAAGAAAAACAACCTAAGGACTCTTCAAACCAAATTCTATTATCAAGACAAGATTGGCCCAAAAACACCGAGTTTATAAGAGATAAAAGATCATCTACCAACCCGATTTCTGACTCCCTCAACCCTCTCCTGAACCCGAGATCCCATGACTCTCCAAAAACACGAAAGGTAGAGATGACTTTAAATTTGTCCAAGGACAAGGAGTAGAGGGTCGGGAACCTATCCTTAAGAGACTAGCCCCCAATCCAAACATCCTCCCAAAAAAGGACCTTATTACCCGAACAAGCATCATACCTGATGAAAGGATAAAAGGCGGGCAAGATACCAACAATGTCTTTCACGGAGAGGAGCGAGAAGCCCTTGGGTTGAGCCTAGCATCCCATCCATTAGCTGCAAATCCATGTATGCTTTCTATCACTCTATGCCACAAACTTTCTTGCACCTTGGGAAACCTCCACAACCACTTACCTAAGAGTGTCGTGTTTCTTAATCAGACATTTACAATCCCTAAACCCCCTTTGTCTTTTGTCCTAGAGACCACTTCCCACTTCACTAGGTGATCCTTTTTTGACTCCCCAAGTTCCCAGAGGAAATCTCTCAACTTTTTCCAACTAATTTGCAACCTTAGCAGGCACTTTGAAGGTAGACAGGAAGTACACTGGCAAATTTGCTAGTGTTGACTTAATTAAAGTGATTCTACCTCCTAAAGAGATGTAACTCCTCTTCCACCCTGCTAGTCTCTTTGTGAATCTTTCTAAGACTAGGTACCAGAAACTTTCTGACTTAGGTTTCCTCCTAGAGGTAAACCCAAGTACTTTGCAAGCCAATGACTCCACTCACAAACAAACATCCTAGCCAAGGAAGACACCTCCTCATCTGACCTATTAATCCCAGCCACAGAACTTGTATTTCAATTCACTCTCAAATTAGAGACCTTTTCAAAACCTTCTACCAACAATTTCAGATTGACCATCTCCTCAAGCTCTCCCTTACAAAAGAGAATTATATCATCTGCAAATTGCAAATGAGTGGCCACTACTTCTTGCCTCTCTACTCTCCACCCACTAAAAAGATTTCTAGAGTCAACGCTAGAGATCATATCACTCAAAACATCCACTATTAAGGTAAAAAGGAAGGGAGAGAGAGGATCCCCTTGTCTTAGACCTCTCTTTGCTAGGAAAAAATCCTTGGCTCCCCATTCACCAAAATAAAGTAGTGCCTAGTGGCACTTGGCATGAAGCCACAAAACCTTTGATCCATCTACACCACCTTTCCCCAAAACCTTTGTTTCTCAAAACTTCCAGAAAAAAGTCTCAATATACCAAGTCATAAGCCTTTTCCAAATCAAGTTTGCAAATCAGCCCCTTCTCTCCTTTTCTCTTTCTATAGTCAACACACTCATTGGCAATAAGGATTTGGTCCATCATTTGTCTCTCAGACACAAAGGCTCCCTGGCTTGGAGAAATCAGATAAGGAAGTACCTTTTTAATTCTTGAGGCTAACACCTTAGAGATGATCTTATACATGCTGCCAATTAAACTAATGGGTCTAAAATCCTTTGGGTGTCTTGCATCCATCTTTTTGGGAATCAAAGCTATAAAAGGAGCATTGGCACCCGAGTTAATCCTACCTCTCTCAAAGAATTCTAGAAACACCTCCATGAAATCCCCACCTATGATTTCCCATCAATCTTGGTAAAAGGCCATCGTGAAGCCATTTGGACCCGGGACTTTAGATCTTTCCATTGAGAAAGCAGCATCTTTGACTTCTTGGATTTCAAAAAATCACTTTTTCTTAAATCTTGCCGTTAAATTGAACAAAAAAGACTCCTTTGCCCTTAACTATTCTTCAAATTTTCAAAATATCTTCCATAACAGTCATGGTTTCAAACGCAAAGGTGTAGATTTAGAAAATTCCCTGTATCAAGAAACTAAACGTCCACAGATCAATGTGTTGTGATATTCCAATAACCGCAAGCATGTTGTTGCTGTAGGAGCCGAACCGGGGGAAAGACTCAAAAAGTGATTTTTTTTTTTCATTTGTGATTTACCTCTAAATAGACTATGGAGAGGTCCTCCATTTAAGGCCTTCATTTGGGGCTTAAAGCTTTAGGATTTAATAGCTTAACTGAGGTTTTCACCCTCAGACCCTGATTCAAGATGCAGATCAAGTATGTTTCGGCTTGGATCCCAGATCTAAGTTCTGTATGTGGTTTGCATGCTTCATTAACAAGAATGGTATTTGAACCATTTTTTAAGCCATCATGTAGTTAGCTTTTAAACCTTTTGTTCTTCCATATTCATTTTCAATGTGGGTTTACATGGTTGAATGGATGCAGCAAATGTTAATGTGTTTTGGTCTAAAAAATCATGTGTTTGGTTCTGTTAAATTCACAGTAACTTGATGTTGTAGACTTGTAGTTCTCTCAGACCTCTGCTTCTGTCAATCTCTCTTTCTATCACTAGATTTTCAGAACGATGCAAATCTGTGAATTTAACATAACAGGATGTGTTATGAGATCATAAGATTGCATGAGGTATGCGACCAATGCTTCTCTTCTCCAGAGATAGAAGACCCAGCATGAGGGGTGACCTGTAAAGCTTGTTCACTAAATCCCATGTTCTGGACAGAGGCCAGACGGTCCAGACCCACTATGGAATGAGTGTCATACTGCCATTTAATTACTCCATTGAGAGCAGTTTCATGGTAGACATGGAAACTAACAAACTTTTATTTTGGGAGAAAAAAATAAGATTTGTTTAAATAAAGGGCAAAATTGTGTTTTTGAAATAGTAAAAGAGTCATGTGATGTCACATGCAAACAGAATGTGCAGGACAACTAATGAAGGGGCAGTATTTGTCATATTATAAGGATCTTTAAGTAGGTTTTGAAACCTTAAGACTGTGTTTGGTTTGAAGGAAAATGTAGGGAAAGGAAGGGAAAGGTTCGGAAACCTTTACAAATATTGTATAGGCTTCCCTTCCTTTCCCTACCTTTTTCTTCAAACCAAACATAGCCTAAGGGTACTTTAAGTATTTTGTCAGAAACCTCTAGGTCGGGGGTTCTTTAAGTAATTTGTCCAAAAAAAATATTAGCCTAGGAGTTGGGAATATTATAGGTTCACATCATGAACTCAATAAGGAGACAAGTCACATCAAGTTTCGAGGATAACCATGATTATGTAGGACAACCATGATGAGAATTTTGGATGCAATTTTCTGGTCTAGTTTTTCAATTGATTCCCAGGATTAATTAGCCAAATGCATACATCTAACACGGAGAATTAGAATCAAGTGCAATCTATATGTATATATTAAGACAGAATGGTGTTACGTGGCCATCATCTTTTTTCTCCTTTTTTATAATTTTTTGTTTTTCTAATGGAAACTTAGTGAGTCATTTAACGAGGGTATAAATGACCCATTTTTTAGAATTCTTTTGATATAGGTGGGTGTGTTTTTTGGTTTTTGTGTGATAGGTGGGTGTTATTTTTTCAAAAAGTCCTTAGCCTGTATTAGAGGGTAGTAATAATTACTTTTTGTAGTATAAGGATAATTTACTACTCATATATAATCAAATCAAGTAATATTAATGAGTTACACCTATTAAAAATATTGTTCATAAAACATAATATGATAATTATTTTATTTATAAATGAAGTATATAATTAAGTATAACTTAATTGATAATATAGCATGAATTATCAAAACTTTTTAGTAAATTAAAATTAAACAAAATTTTAAATTTTAAATTAATATTTATTAATTTAAAATTCACTTAGCTTTAGGGGGTGATCATTTTCAGCCTAGCCCTGTCTGGGCCTATATATACATATTATATGACATTTTTATATACATATTATATGACATATAATATAAAATACTATATATACTATTTTATACAGAAAACTCATAGGCTCGAATTTATGCCCAGACATATTCAGGCCTAAGCTATAGCCCTTATTACAATTGCTAAGCCTAGACTAGGCTCATGTAGGACTAGGTACGGCTGTACAGGCTTATGTTCTTAGCCTGGAACCTAGGTCTATCCCAAGCTTGGGCCATAGCCATATAACATGTGTTAAGCCCAGCCTCGGGCCAACTTGGCTTTGCTCATGATCATCGTTACTTAGCTTCCGTCCATTTTATTTCTAATTAATACAAGTTTATTAATAAAACAAAAAATATTAGTAAGAAATTATTAATTCTGAAATTATTTTTTATAATTTAATATCCATTCAAATTGCATTTATTAATAAAAATAATAAATATATTTTAAAAAATTTTATTGACTTTAAAATCAATTTAAAAATAGCAACATTAAATTAAAAGTTCTAATATAAAATAATAAAACTTAGTAAAAAATAATAAAACTAAATGCTACTATAAATTTATTAATGAAATTAATAATGTAAGAAAAAATTAGTTTTAATTTTTTAATTAACAAAAATTAATTTTAACACTAATTTATCCAAATACATTATCAAAAATAAAATATTTGGATTGAACTCAATCTTACTTGACCTAATTGGGATTGTTGCAAGGCTCCTTTTACCACAATTACTTTTAATAAAGCTCGTGCATCACACAGGTCCCAACTAGTTGATTCTAAAAACAAACATCTTAGAACAATAAACAATTTCTTCTCCAAACACATGTCAAAATATAGCTTATATCCCCAAGCCAGGTCCATTTGTTTCAGGCTCTGGATTAAAAGCTTTAACCTAATTTGTGTGGCCAAGAAACATTTATCTACTTGTACAACCATTTTATTATTCACTAGTTCAATCAACCCCACCAGATGGTATAAATTAATTAAATGTTAAATCATACTAGTCAATATCCTACTGTTGCATATATATTTTGGGCTCAAATGTAATTTGTATTGGGACAGCTTCTAAAGCTGGTTTTCTTTCACAACTTCTTATCCTGTTTTCTTCTAATCTTCTAATTAATGAAATCTTTTTTTTTCTGTGTTGCTCATTAAAAAAAATGTCCTACTGTTGCATATAAAGAGAATCTTGATAGAACTTTTACCTTTTTAATGGAAGGATCTTCAAAGAATGGAGCAAATTCCATCAAAATATCCCTACCACCACCATCAAGAACATCTACCCAGATACAAGACTTCTCATTTCCAAAATCCACTTCTGGTCCAGAATAGATACTGAAACATATCACTTCCCCATGATCAACAGGTGTCTCCTCCTTTACATCAATATTGGCTACCTGTAAGTATGGAAACATCAGCCAAAAAGACAATGTATATAAGCTCAGATATGAATAGTTTCAATAATTTGGGAATATGAATGTGCTTTACAATTATATATCCATGTATAGACAGAACATTTAAATATATACTTGGACATAGAAAACGTACCTCTGTGTCACATGCATGGACAAAATCCTTGTACCGTGTTGTAAGCATTCCAACAATTTCCTTTGCAACTGCAATACTGTCAACAACAAGAACCTTTTCATAGATGCAGATAAGCCTCTCACGATGGTCTGCCATGCGAATATCAGATTCCCCTCCTGATTTTATTGGTCCACCAGGGATTTGAACTGGTTTCTTAGTGACAGTAGGAAATCCACCATTGGATGTACCGCTTTTAATTGCACCATCATGTTGTTGCCCTGCTAATTTGGAAGGTTTTTCTTTACTTTGCTCCAAAGGCTTCTGGGAGAGTGATTCGTTAAACTGAACTTCCTTTGTCGCAACTTGTGTTGAAGATAAATTAATTTGAGTTGAATTAGCCAATTTAAGATTATAAATATTAGTAACAGCAATGTTGTTCTGGACTCTATTTTCTGGTTCATTTGGACCTTTCAATTGCAAATTGTGGTCAAACTCTGAGGTTGTCTTGCCACCACCCTTTACAGTACATGTTTCCCTTTCAATTGGTTCACGAAGTGGGTTATGAGATGGTATATTATCCAAGACCATGCTCTCTACGTAAACTGAACCTTCTCCATGGAGAGGATCTAGGGAGGAATCTAACTTCTCAGAAGAACCCCCATCACTCAAGGCCTCAAGCTCAATTCTTTTAAGAACGTTCAATCTTGTTTCCCTCACTTTTCGGCTTTCTTCAATCCAGAGATGCTTATCACTGGACACTGTAGGTCCTGTAGCCCTAAAATTGGTAGTCCTATTATCATTGGGCCTACAAGGTGGAGTAACTCCCACTCCTTTTAACATTAACCCATAAAGGTTTCCAGGAGTTTGCTTCTCTCCTCCCTCTACTCCTGCCATTTTAGCCAGTCCCCCTGACAAAACTTTTCCCTCTGAACCAAACTGATTTGGGTGGTGAGGGTGCATCCGAGCTGGTGAAACAAAGGGGTTCTGCATTTGATATTTCCAGTGAGGATATGTATATGGGTAGTAATGTTTTCTTCCATCAAGATCAAATATACATGTATCATCCTTTCTAGCATATGGTCCAGATGAATTACTCAAACCTCGTTTAAATTGATGATAACTACCAGTGATATTGCAAAAGCAACCATTCTCATGCTGGAGAGAGAAAATTTCCTTCCTGTCATCCAAAATAACATGACACTATGAGAGATTGATACATATGTTCAAAAAACACAGGGGAGAAGAGAGAGAGAGAGAGCACTAGCTAGTGAGTGACTAGATAACTGAAAGTATCTAGAAACCACTCCCTTTCTATCAGCAGATTTGCTGTTTCGAAGCTTCTTGTGCATGACATGTTACCCCGCTCAGTTCTTTATTTGTCCTTTTAACTAAAACAATATTGGTTGCAAATACTCTTTTACACCACACCCATGGTAACATGTCATGCACAGGAAGCTTCAAAACAGCCCAGGCTGTTTTTTATGCCTATTAATTTCCTATTTCACTTTCACTTCAATCCACAGCCACTATAAGAAGTTAATTACAATTACCAAATTCCAGTTTATCTGTTCTAACTCCTTTATCTAAAAAGCTAGATACTTATATGTACAATTGAATGCCTAAGCCCCGCTAGGTGGGATGGAAAACACTATTTATTGGTATCATGGATTGAAGCTGATTAGCCAGCAAAACTGGAGGAATTTAATTGACTGTCATGTGGTTATTTCATGGCTTTTTCTTTTGAAAGAAAGGTAGCAAATCAATTCAAGAAGCCATCCTTCTAGGAAACCATCTGAACTGATAGTTCCAGTTGGCTGATTCCTTGGCAAAAGCAAGTGCCTTGAGGCAAAATTTTTGTCTGGGCCCTGGAGAACCCCTGGGCCAGGGAATGATTGTAAATTTTATCCTAATTATGGTTGTATTTACGTAGCAGTTTTTAGCTGTTTTTGTATCATCAATGCTGTCAATCTTGTGACGGTGTTGTCTTCTCTCTTTCTATATCATGAATGAAATCCATTTCATTTATCCATCTTTTTTTTATAAGCCATTTCAGTTATCTATGAAATAATAATAATAATAATAATAATAATAATAACTATCTATCAAAAAATTAATAGCAGTAACTACCAACTTCCTAATTGTTTACAACCAGCTGCAAACAGTTGCAAACAACAACACCAATAGCACCAAACCTGGGATCATTCCTTACACGTCACTTTAGCCCCAAATTCTTGTATGGACATTCTGATTGATGTAATGCTAGACTTGATAACTATCCTTTACCTAGTCTAGAATCAAATTTTTTTCAGTTCAAATAGACAACTACATATCATCCAGAATTACCTTCCTGTAAATTATTCCACTTACATCCTTCCAGCAACTACAAGTTTATCATGACTTCTGATTCTACCTCGCATTATAAATACCATGTCTCTCCTCGAACCGACAGTAACAAAAGGAAATTCGGCCTCAACTAAAACTCCATAATCACCAGAACGAAAATAGGAAAAATAACTACTTTTCCAAAGTAAACACAACTTGCAACCATTCCAAGACGCAATCCGCTAACCGAACATCAGAGAGACAGATGAGAGAGAAAATAAAAGAAAACTGATAGAATAAAACAGGGGGAAAAAGAGTCTTTCTACGGTGGAACAGCATTTTTTTTAACTGATTTCCCCGGGAAAGCCCGCGAACCCACCTCATAATCGAACTTCAGAAAACCAAAAGAGTCCAACAAAAAGAACCAAAATGACGGAAAACGAACAGAAAATAAGTTTGAAACAAGACGGAAACCAAACCTATGTAAAGCTTTACTGGAAGCCGAGAAAGCGCGAGGGGAGGAAGCCATCGAAGTAAAGCGACGATAAGACGGAGATAACCAGGAAGGAGGAGGGAAACAGGGCTTCAAAGAGCCACTCTGAGTGGAAACCCCCACTGCCATCGCCTCTGCAACTCTCCCCAGTTTATTACAACCACTGATACAGGGAGCCGTCTTGGACTATTGTTAAAGCTCTGTAAATATTCTGCCCTTACAAGAGTTTACTCCCGCTCTGCGACTTTCTCTTGGTCTCTACACTCTAGCAAGTAGAAAGCAGATGGTGGGGAAGGGAGGGAGGGTGAGAGAAGTGAGAATGATGCTCGTCGGAGGGGAGGAGCACGAAAGGCTAAAACCCTTCCCTCGCTCCGAAAAACCCCAAAATACGAACATTTTTTTGGGGGTTTTATTGTTCGTCCACCTCATAAATTTTTTTATGGCCGACAAAAATACTTGTATTTCGCGTTTTCTATATTATTATTTTGGGGTTTTTATGCCTCAGAACCCCACCGTTAAAAATGTGGGCTTGTCAATGAGAAAAATAACGGCCATGCCATTATTATTACGAGTAACGAACTAACGATGGGGTGGGGTCACCCACGGGCGAATCACCCGTGATCTGACGACTGAAGTGGTTAAACTTTTTCCCACGTTATAAATCAGAACCGTTCATACTGACGTGGCGACGTTCTTACTCTGCACTATGAAGCAATGAAATCTGAATAGGCGTTATCGGGGGAAATGACGGTTCAGCCCAAGGTCATAATTTTTAAGCTCAAAGTATATATTGGTGTATAGAGTGGTGATTTTTGACATTTTGAATGTTTATAGCTCTCTATCAAAAATTTGCATTGGGCCTGTCTATACATCTCCAAAAGGCTTCGTTTGGTTTGGTACGGCTCCGTGTTCGAAGCACGTTGCATTAACTGAGCTGCAGATCAGACCGCGCTAGTAGCTCCCGCATTCCACATAAGCTTCGATTTAGGGGTGATCATGGGCCTGGGCGGGTTTTGCACCGATGATAAAGGCTTTAGCCTATGCCTAGGCCCGGCCCAGCCTGTACTTGCAAGTCCAAGCTTATGGGCTTTTGGGCCTATTAAATCTAATGAAAGTTTACTTATTTAGAAATTTTTAAATTAAATAACATATATTACATGAAAAATATTGCACAACTCCATGCTTGGTTGGACTTGGCCAGATTTGGCTTATGGTGCACAAAATAAGTTATGGGCCTAGTTTAATTCTTAGGCTTATCTTGGTTTGGCTTACATATCCTTTTATAGATATTCCCACTCTTGAGTGATGTGGGACACTGAATAATACTCAATAGTGACAAGTCCCAAATTGCTCAAGAATGAGAATGAAGGTATTGTTTTCATATATATAAAGCCTTGCTTTTAGGAGTGTAAATGGATCGAATTTGAATCAAATCAATTAATATCTTAATTCGGATCCGATTAAAAAATTCAATATCTAATAGATATTGAAAATTAATATTCGAATTCAAATCCGATTAAATATCCGAATCCGAACTTGACCAATTAATTATTTTAGGTAATTAATAACATATATAAAATAAAAATATTTAATCTATATTAGGTATGTAAATATATAAATTATTTATATGATTTCATTATTTTTAAATTATATAAAACATTTAAATACTTTTATGTGTTAAATATAAGAATTAAATAATCGGCCAAATTTGGATATTTATTAAATCGAATAAGGTTATATTCGAATTCAAATGTGATTAGCTATTCGATATGGATATGATATCCGAATTCAACCAAATAGATTTTCGAATTATCCGAATTTGATTTGATTATGTTGAATCTCGAATTTGAAATCAATTTTCAAATAGTATTGACACCCCTACTTGCCTTAGAGCGAAGCTCTTGTACTTGAGTTGACTCATGTGTTTGCACTTTGCACAAGTGTTAACATATAAAATATAAAATATTGAGTGTATATAATTTATTAATTATGATGCATAACATAGTATTATTATGACATGCAATTATTATATTATATTATACAATATTGAAGGTTAGTTGGGCCCAAGCTTGACCCAAAATTTGTTTGGGTTTGATGTGGGGCCATACCAGGTTGGGTTTGTACACAAAAACCTAGGCTTGACCCGAAAATCTATGTATTGGATTAGGCCAGGTTTTTAGGTTGAGCCAAGAATGGTCACCCCTAAGCTTCTTGATTTAAAAGCCTGTTTAGGACAGCTGTAGTATTGGAGGCAAATTATGTTGAGTGAGTAATGGTAGTTAAGCATTCGTCCCCGTCTTCTAGACAAGTTATATGGAGTAGCTTATATTATAGTCGCATTTATCATGTTCGAATCATGATTTTAAAATTTGACCCAAAAATGAAACTATTTTGACCCCCATTTTATGGGTCAATCTATTAAGACCGATTCCTAAGTCAACCGGTCCAATTTTCAAAATCATGTTTAGAATGTCAATATTGATTTTTTCATATTTTGTACGGAACATTGTTTTCATGATTTTACACTTGGGGCACAGCTCAAAACGCGGGAAGCCACGTCTCGAAAGCCCTCCCAAATGGGCACTTAATCGCGGGAAGCCACAACATCTAACATTTCCATTTAAGGCATATCTCAAAACACCAAAAGCTGTGTCTCAAACGCTTTCCCAAACAAGCACTTAGGCTCAATAATGTTGTTGTAGAACGTGATAATTTTGGTATAGCCTAGGATGGACGTAGCAAGTCCAACAAGGAAATAAATAGAGCTAGTCCTAAACAAGACCTTGTTAGGACCGGCAACATTTTGACCACATGTGAATATGACATAAAATTAATGGGTTTTGGGTTTACCTTGATCATGTTTGTTTAGAAATCATATCAGCTTATTTAGCACAATTGAAAAAATGTTTCAAATTCAAATTAACCCACTTGTAATTAACATGTTTATGTACCTTAGTTTCGAGTTTGATGTCATTTATGTATATTTGGGCGAAATATTACAATATTAGGTAATGATGATATTGAATGTTTTTTATAAATTTGTTTATTAAATGGATGACTAAATTTCTATTTATCATTTAATTGGTTTGGATTAATCATGTTGAATTAATGTTAATTCAAATTATACGTGTCATTTAGTAAACAAATTTATCGTGTTAAATTGGGTTATACAGGTCTTATTTTGTTACTTGTGAAATAAATATATTGTATTCATGTTTTAAAATTTGACACAATTGATTAATCATATTGTGTTCGTGTCCACCCTGTTAGTGTGAAAATTTATTAAAATTTTCATGCAATATAATTCATTCAATCAAGTGATCGAGTTTTTATTATTTTGGGTAAGGCCCATTCAGGGAATCATATGGATTGTTCCCCTTAATTACATCTCCAAAGTAGAGAATACCTTTTGATTATAACATGGAGTAACAATGCATAGAACGAAAGAAAAGAACAATAGGGTACTTAGAACTTTTTCATTTGCTTTCTTTTACAACAAGTGTACAAGAATGAGAAGAAAGAAATACAAAATACAATTGAGAAGCTATACAACAATACATTTCTCTTTTATTTTTAATACAAAGAAATTTTCCTTCTCACTCATTTCTTCACAATAAGTTGTAGTCAATCAGATGAAATTCAGATTGTAGACAACCTTAATCCTTAGAATTTTGTAGACGATTTTCATCCATTAGCTCTTCATTTTTATTTGAAGGTAACCATAATCAGCCTTATAGAATTAGATTGTAGATGGTTTAATCCATAACTTTGTCTTGAAAGAGGGACCATAATCAACCAAGTGGAGGCACCTATTTGTAGATGGTTTGTTACCCTCTACTCTTCATTTTCATTTGAAGGGAACCATAATCATTATTCGATAATTAGACTGCAGATGGTTTAATCCCTAACTTTGTCTTGAAAGAGGGACCATAATCAACCAAGTAGAGGTACCTGATTGTAGATGGTTATTTCCTTCTATTTCCTTTCTCAAAAGTAAAAATAAAAGAGAGATGAAGAAGGATACATAGCAAAAGACATATATAGGAAGTATTCACATAGAGGACTTTCTTTTTTCTACCTATATTAGTGAAACTTTTCCTACTTTGTCTTTCCTTGAGCACTTCTCTTTTATTATCTCCTTATTTTTGCTTTTCTTAAGAATCTCTTGTGAAAATTTTCACCGAAGAGTCTCTTCGTGCTTCTAGCTTTCCCTTAAGGAGCTTAAATAGGGAATGGGGTAGTTATGTAACTACCTCCTCCTAGGTGAAGAGAGGGAACTCCCCACTTAAAGAGACGGGATACTTTTTTATAGTTTTACTGATTTAGCTAGTAGACTAGCCAACCCACATTATAATTTATTTAAATATTATTTGGATTAAAAAATACCTTCAACACACCCATATATCTAAATACTCGTCTTCAACGACACAAACACTACACAAGAGCATAAATTACCACCCCTAAATCCATCCTGTAAGGCCTATGTTAACAAATTTTGAGGGGGACCCAACTATTAATCATACTTATAGTGTTGAACCCAATAAGATATTATTAAAAATTTAAAGTCTTAAATTTCAATGCGTCAAAAACCTACCATTCTAATAATACATCATTGATAAAAAAAATAGACAATAAACTTGCTTGTTTTAAAATGTGTGTGTGTGTTTTGTCTTCTTATTTGGTATCACCGTATCACATATATAGGTGTTTAGGTAGGCACACACTATGAGCATGTTGAGTAAGCACTTGGATTTTGTTTGACACCTACCCCTTAAAATAGCCCCAAACTACCATTTGAGAAATGTGTATGTTTTGTGTCTTCTTATTTGATATCGCCATATCACACATCTAGGCATTTTTTCGTAAAAATCTCTAAGCGTTTATGTTTCCTTTTTTATACATAAATAGGTATACTAATGAATGCACACCAGACCATGTAGGCACATTGCACACACTATGAGCACATTGAGTAAACACTCAGTGTTTTTTACACTTGTTCCTTAAAATACCCCCAGCATACCCTTGAAAAAGATTAAAACCAACTTTTGATACAAGTGTAGAATATTTATTGTGTACTCATATATTGTGCTTAGAATGGATGGAGGCCCTAGTAATATCCTTTAACAAAATGAACACTTCTTGATAGATATAAACCTATTGTTTTTTTTTCCTCCAATTGCTAGCAATAATATGTTAACATGACATTGAAGAACGTCTATGTGGTAGCAACAACAATGGTAACAAATAAAAACAAAGAGAGAGAGAGAGAAAGAGAATGTAAAACAAGAAAAACAATATGCCAATGCATCACCGTTTTTATCAAAAAAACATCTCTTAAGAAACAACACCGGTTCTAGGCACCACAAAAAATCAATTGTCAATCAGTGTCATTTGAAGGGATGTCCACTAAGCA